AATTTGACAGGAAATGAAAAAATGACGAAGTGCGATGCGGTCAAGAAAAAGGTATACTCTCGTCCATTACCGCTATAGTCAAGGAAAGGAGCGACAGAGGAAAACGAAAAAAAAACTTAAATATTTTGTTCGTCTTAAAACTCAGTCGTTCCAAAGTGTAAATGCCATAGCACTTTTATGCACTTTCGTTTTTTTGTTGCGATATAGGGGTTTTAGCATAGCAACAGTCGGAATAATGGATAATAAGTCCAAATTGCGCGTACTATTTCCCTCGCTTAAAATAAGCTGAATTCAAATATGTTAATGAGAAACTGATCAATCTGCAAAAGTATCCGCCTTTTCCACGCCACTGACGTTGTATTGATGAATAAAAACAATTTTCTTGTTTTTTTCCCATTGTCGAAATAAATTATCTAAAAAGAGTGTGGCTTCAAGATTCATACACAAAAAGTAAATAAATCTTCATATTTATCCGTAAGAGTAGTGTGTTCTAGGATAAACAATTTGTATAAAATTCCACACTATGATAGGTACTTCTAGTTTCTGAAGAGTCCGAAATACGATAGTTTATAAATATTTATAACTCAGCTTTTTTCGGTCAATTTCCAGCGAAAAACCGTTTATAAACCCATTAATAAGTGAAAAATTTATAAATAAACGCTAATAAATCGATTTATAACTATTTCGGACATTGCCCAAACCATTTCGGGCTCTTCAGTGCTTCTAGTTCATATCTGCGAAAGACCCCTTCGAAATTTGAACAATATGTCATAGAAAATCCGACACTCTAATGTGTTAATTTTTTGTTCTTACCTTCTTTTAAAAACAAAAGCCTATCATGAGAACGTTATCTGAAGTATATTCTTATGGGAGAAAGCACCAGAACGATCGGCTGAAATTTGGCTTCTCAAACTTTTATCCTCATTTTTATCAACAGTTTATAAAAATGTTGTATTCTGGAAGAAGGCGTAACATTGTAAGCGCTGAAAAACCTTATGTTCAGACATACTTTCTTAATAATAAATAAAACGTATTAACGCATACAATTCTGATACTATAATTCGATAGGCCTGCAACAATTAAGCACAATCCTGTTTCGGGAGTATTACTAATTTATTTGTGTTACAAACCAGTGAATACAAAAAACTCAAATAACATTTGTAAAAGAAATATACAATATAGAAGCGATAAAACTGTAAAAATTAAACTAACTTAACTTCACTAAAACAATCATCTAAATCCAATTTGATTGAATCATCTAAAAGTAAACCATCTGTCACACTCTGGAATAAACGTTGGATTTAATATAGATGTATGTTTTTTACTGCACTTTTCAAAGTTCTATATTCTCGCCTGAATAATCTTTAAGAAAATTCTGTCGACTGCAGTAATTCCTCTGAAAGTTCCTTAATTGATCCTAAATTAGTACGTTCAACGAGAATACACATGACCTATAATCCTTGTTCCTACCGGAAGCAACTAACGACGAAATAACGGCAAACCTAATGTTTTTCTTGAAAAAAAAGAAACACTCATAATTACTGTGCTCAACTTACCATTTTTCTTAAACTGTTTTAAAATTGTTGTGAATTTTAAAACAGAGCTAAAAGAAGAAAAACAACTTAGTTATATTTCATGAAAATATGACTTTCTCTCAAAATTTCGCATCGATGATTTGCTGCAGTAATTAACTCATACCAGTGGTCGAATTTGAAAAATTTAATGATTCATTTAAACACTTACTTTACAATTAAAATAACTGATAAATGTGCTAACCCAAATAACTGAGTTTAATCCAGTTTAATCGTGTTTTATTCCTAAATAGAAAACAAAAACCTTTGATGCAGATAATAATTTACTTACAAAACGTTGAAAAATTTCTCAGGTAAGTGCTGCCACATATCCGTGATGCATTTTATTATTTAGATGCCACTAAAGTCAAGAGGTCGACCGTGAAAGCCGCAAGACCGACGGCAACGGCAATTTCCCTTGTCACGTCGATGTTTTTTATGCGAATCATCTGTTGGTAATGCCAGTGGATACACAACAATCAGTGATACTGGGCATGAACAAAGATTTCGTCTACAAATTGAACTAGTCATACCTCAGCTAAAAAACCGGTTATCATTAATCGGGGATAATTTTCATCATCATTGTTACACCAAATACGCTCTAAGAACAAAACGTTTAGATAAATTACTGACAACTTTACATTTTTCTATTTAGCCATCATTTTTCTTTTTTAGCAACTAGACAACACCAATACCTGCGGTAAATGCAATTGGCTATGAATTCTTGCTTCAGCTGGTAATACTTTTAATATTCACAGGCGGTCTATTGATTTATATACGAAAGTCATTTGGCTGTACTCCCAAATTGCAATAAATCAATAGACCGCCTGTGAATATTAAAAGTATTACCAGGTGAAGAAAGAATCCATAGCCAATTGCATTTCCCGCATCCATCTTTAGACGAAAGACTGATACTCTTAGACTCTTTTCCAAATTGTTTTTGGCTTCACTTCGCTCATTTTCCATTTGAGTAAGCAATAGTCCCATCCGCTTCCTATCCGCTAGGATAGGAATTTCGTCTAGACATCGTCAAATTGGTCCCACTGGAGAAAACCAAAGCGGCGACGTTTCAACACTAAAGAACGACGTTTCAACACTAAGTGGCACGGTTTCAACATTAAGTGGCAAAATGGATAATGTAATTGGCAAACTAAATGAATTACGGTCATTGGATTTAAATCGATTAACAAATGCCGCTAAGAGGGTTTTCAAAAATTTCTCGATCATTACAAATCCGTCGACACTTCCGCGACAGCGTCGTTACCCGTTAACTGCCGACGATTCCTATTCTAAAGACTTTTGGCAATGTTATAATAATAATAAATCATACTTTCGTTACCAGCATTGCATCACAAATGTACATAAACGGTACCGTATGGTACGCTACGGTTCCGTAGCGACAGTCCTATCCGCAAGTGCGATAGGTGTTCGTACAATGAATTATATATTTACTCATAAAACTATTACAAAAATGTTTATAAGATGAAGATGTGTGTATGAAGAAACAATACTGTTCGTTTATTATGGTGTTATGAATGATCAATGTTTTCTTTAGGTGCAACGTAGTTTAATATCTATTTTACAACTAAGAAAATGGCTTTCATTTAAACGTTAGATTAATGGATTTTTTTCTTTTTTTTCAAGATTGTTGCAGATGCTGTTGCTTCGTGCACGAATCAGCTCAATCATCAGTACAAATAAAAATATTTTATTTAAATTGTTCAATGGCATGAGGATCAATCATTTATACAGGATAGAATTAGAAAAACAAAAAATGAGGAATAAGAAGAACAAATGGTATGTAAACGCTTTATAGTCTGATTAGCCTGTAGGAATGCATTACTTACAATGTCAGTTTTGAAAGAATGCTCTTAGAATAGATATGAAAAAATTTTCTTTTTATTCATATGCGCATATTTCTAACGATCTCTGATTAAGTTTGGTAATATGTCTGCTTTTATTTAAAAAGGTGAAATCATGTTTGTGTAGTGGGAGCTTTGGACACACATTACTTACTCAGTAACTGATCTCCATCTAGAATGATGACTGATGGCTGCTCACTAAACGAATTTGTAATAGTTTGTGGAAAATAATCTAATGTAAATGGAATTAGACTCGACTTGTGTTGAAATGCTGGTTCACTTTTGTTGATGAAAGAAGGAGGTGGCGTAGTAAATTCATATGTGGATAATATTTCTAATTTGATATTTGAACTGAACGCTGAACAGTACATCAGTGAATTAAATAATTTCTCATTATTATTATTTGTAACTGTTAATGGTTTTTGCGGCGATACTGACGAAGTGAGTAGACGTACATTGCCTTTATGTATTATTGTAAATACTATTGTTGATCTTTTTTTGATCAAATGGTCTTTTATAAAGGCAGTCGCCATTGGAATAAATTTGGCTGGTGCACCACACAATTCAGAAACAATATCATTTGGCAATTTTATTCCGCTTAAAATTTTGTAAAATTCTTTTGTTTGACACTGAAATGGGTTATCTGCTTTAAAAACGGTGATCAGTTTCACCAAGTCATTATTATCTGTTGTTATTCTGAATGGTGTAGCTTGTATGTGATGATTGTTTGTTTGTTTAGTCTGAAGAAATTCTATAGGATATTAAGAAATATGCTCATCGTTCCTTAATCGTAAAGATAAACTCACATTTGATAACTCATCTACAATATTCAACACTTCTACGCACCAAGTTGATGATAACGACCATGCTGTATGAAGATCTGTATCCATATGTCCGGATAATCTAAAGTCTTTATTCTGGGTTGTTTTCGAAACAATTCGCGTGTGATTATGCTATAGGCTATAGCATAATCACACGCGATATTGGAGATTGTACGACCTTTCATGGATACTGTCCAGTTATTGTTCAACTCTTGTAAGTCATTTGTATTCATTTAGCTCAATTCATAAATGTGATGTGACCTAGTTCGAGCATAATTTGTATGATTAAATGCAAAGAACAACGGAAGAAAATAACGCCACTGTTTATTGCGCACTACAAAATTATTTGTTCGTGTCGCAATATACAATGTAAACAACGGTTGTAATGAATTATTTAGTAAATAATCATAATGCTTAAACATTATACACTTTTCCGCTTTTATTTTTCTCCAGTTATTATAATCATTCAATACACTCATTAATTTCACTATTTCACATGCATTTCGCGAAATTTCGTATAACTTTTGTTTATGATTATCATTATTTGGCTTTTGTATATTAGCCAATGAACTTAAACAACGCAGTATACAGTAATGTACAGTAAAGTGCAAAAGTCTTTGCCCTCAATATTTCAAGTATGTCTCAGCATGGATACGATGAATATGAAAACCGAATATATACATAGATAAGGCATGGTACAAGGTACAAAAGTGTCACAATTAATAGTTAATCCTCTCTCCCTTCAAGTCAATCAAAGCTAAACATCGCGCTTTCATCGATTC